AATCGGAGAATTTTTTTTTTCTCAATTTTTCCGATGAAATTGATCAAAACTCGTGCATTTGAAAAAAATTAAGACTCCTCGAAAGAATAGTTCATCTTTTATTTTCATTGATTGAGTGTTGAAAACGGGATTAATCGCAAATTGAATCCCCATAAATGGGAATATAAATTTATATTCGTCACCAATGGCTTGATATTATCAAATTGATAACAATATCTGTTGATTTTCTAGTTTTCTTTTCTTTTTTTGGTTATTACAGGTTATAATTGCATGAATAAAATGCGTAGAAAACAAATAAATGAGACAAAAGTAAAGGAACAATTAAATAATTAATGATATTACGTGTACAACAATTAAGAAGAATAAACTATTGCAAATAGACTAGTAGCAAAATGTGTTGCAATTTTAATTGAGTAATTTTATAATTTTGATTGAAATTGACTGATTATTTTATTTTTAAACGTTTCGTGTTTGCATTGCGTCATAAAATAAAATGCATATGTTCGATTGGTAATAAACTGGGATTTTTTTTTGAATTTCCCACGGAATTCGAACTCATTACAAGTAGTTCCATTACAAGTATGGTATCAGTACGACAAAAGAGACATCATTTGCAATTCCGAAAATTGCATTTGCTGCTCAATGCTCTGAAGTTTCAATTTTTTGTAATTCAAAAATTTCAACTTTATTCGTTTCCAATCGAAAAAGGCATAATTTCATACCGTAGATCGAAGAATCGTTTTTTTTTCTATGTGATGGTCAGTACTACATAAAAAATTTAGGAATGAAATTGTTTTTTGAAAAATATTTCGTATTGTTCGATTAGTTGATAAGTCAGTCGAAAGTTTGCAAAAATGTACTGTGCGAAAAGAAAAAGAAACGTTCGAATTTTGATGAATTTTTTCTTTGATAACAGTGTAAATGTGATAACAATTGTGAGGGCTGCAACGCAGAGGGCACCGTATGTACACAGCATCTTAAATATCATTTCGTAGCGGGTCGTACAATAATGTATTGAATTGAAAAAGTTCCCTTTTTACTCTCTCTCTCTCTCTCTCTCTCTCTCTCTCTCTCTCTCTCTTGCTCACTCTGTCTCTATCTCTCACGTATCTACATAATTTTGCCTGGCTGTGGGGTGTGGCCAAATGTTCTCTCAAAACACATTAGATACACATGAGCGCAAAAACACAGCGCATGAAACAATGAGCGAGCATACACAAAAAAGAATATGCGAAACAAAAAAGCCGAACCGAACGAATGAAACAAAACCGATGGAAAACAACACATTAGCACACGCTCATAGGCACACAGACCGAGAGCAATGTGAACGTGCTCTCTTATTCTCTCTGTCTGGCGCATATCCACCGAGAGGCGCCCGGATGAGTGAGTAAGCGAGCGAGCGTACGAATGGATGAACGAGAGAGCACACACGTACATATTCCACGCAGCCAAGCGAAACAACAATCGACCGAATCGAGCTGCTATAACAACGGAACAATAAACAAGTGTGTGTATTGGGTGGGTGTGTTTTTACTAAACATGCTTTGTTATCTCTCCTGACTCTCTGCTGGCTGCTGGCTGCTGTTACTGCTGCCGTCATCGTCGTCGTCGCCGCTGCTGCTGCTGTTGCTGCTAATACCGAACCGAGATGGCAAGAGAAAAATTTCGTACACGCGCGGCGCGCATACATGCTCGCGTTCACCTCACATACATTCGCACATGCACCAACAGCACTGAGACAACTGAACAAAACAAGAATAGCTGCGATACGTTTTCTCATTCGAGCAACGAGTATTCACGAGCGAGTAAACCCCGTTTTTTTTTCGTTTGCTCTATCTCTCTACGATGTTTGCGATGAAATTTTTTTTCGAATGCAGCCACAACGGCTACCTTTTGCATTTCGAAATATATCATAGAATCGCCACGTAGACACACTTTTCTCACTTGGAAATCTGAAGAAAAACAGAAAAAAAATGTTGCACTCTGCTCAACCACATCACACCAGTGTGCACAATTTGCATCGTCTTTTATATCAAGTACATCCGACACATATGCGAAAATCACTTTTTTGCACATATTGCTCCTGGCGGCAACGAAAATAAAATAAGCAATATAACAATAATCCATGATTCGTTTGCAGATTACAACCGACTTTCATCATCTCGTGAACAAAAATAAATTATTGTTCATTGTTTCGACTGCGCGATACGTTCAGCGATTTATTTGATCCTCGTTATCATTGTTAGATCAATTGTCTGTGTAATTAGCATTCCGTTTGCAATTACAATTGTAAATGTGATCGGAACGATCGACACATCACCCTGGCACAATTTAACATAAAAATCAGCACAGTTCAACTGATTTCATCTGTTTTTTACATTCGTTTTGTTAAAACAAAAATAATCCTAAAATGATCTATTCGAAACGATGATATTCCACATTGCTTACCATTCCTGTAGAGATTTCATTAGAAACCAATCCAATTAACGATTTAACTCAACTTGATGACAATTAAAAATATATCGATTTAATCTTTTTTTCGTCAACATTCATTAACTCTATATCCTTTATCAAAGAGAAATTGCTTCATCTGCTGTCGTGAGCGTCATTGGAAAAAGTGAGTTCAATGTAATGCAACCAAGTGTATGGTCCTGTGAACAGTCACACACTGTTGACCTATGAAAATTGAAACGATTTTAATTTCATTTTATTTTTACACGAAGAACTTATACTCGACCATTGAAGCTAGCAAAGTTCCAATTTTTCAATATGTTTCGAAAAAGAATTTCAATTTGCTTTCACAACAATAATCCTTTGTGTTTTGTGATCAATAAAGATTGTGGAATTATTTTAGAGGTTATTGAAGGTTCATTGCCTTGGATTTTGTTATCACATCAGTCAATTAGTGCTGGGCTAGAATGGCCTTCTACAAAAGTTCTAATCATACGAAAATTCCATGAACGATTTATAATAATAAAGAGGGTGAGAGAGAGAGAGAGAGAGAGAGAGAGAGAGAGAGAGAGAGAGAGCAAAAGAGGCCGAAACAAGTGTTGTATTTGCATTATTATAACATTTTCAGTGTGTCTCCCCATTCAAAATGATGTTGTTAATAACGAAGAATCGTATTTGATTTTTGTGATGATATTTCCCCTGCTTCCACCACTCAAGAGCCGATCTTTTGTTTGAATATGCACAAACACATGAACAAGTCTGTATGTATATATATTTTAGTCGGCGGCAGTGACATGTGGAAATCAGCCAACGAACATCATTCGAGGCGCATTCGGCAACCAAATGAGATAACGATCGAGCATTGCCAAAAGCATTTTGTTTCGTCCTCTTGGTTCTACATACATAAAGAAGGCACAATTTGAATGTTCAAAAGATGAAGCCAAAACGACACAATGGCATGTGTTCTATTCAAATGCTCACAGTTCTCGCTCTCGCTCTCTTCATTGAATTCATATTCGCAAGCGCGAGCGTTCTAATTCGCCTACCACATTCTATTGTGCGGCACAACGGCATTTCGTGTGTGTGTGTGTATTCAATCAAAATGCTCTGGATGTGATTCAATAGATTTCGTGTGTATTAGCTTCACAACCTTACAAATGCTTTGCTCTCTCTCTCTCTCTCTCTCTCTCTCTCTCTCTCTCTCACTCATTCGAAGTCGAAACGAACGCCTGTTTGCGAAAATCCATGGAATTTCTACCGAACAATTTAAATACACAGTAGTATATTACTAGTTCAACAAGTATTTTCCCGATGTCCTGATGATGTCTCCTGCTCTAAAATGTGCGCTCTGTCCAAAATTTGCTCGCTTTTGTATTCGAAATACCGAAAGTATGTGCTGTTCCGACGATGATGTTGTTGCTGCTTCTTCCGCACAGCACATGTGATCGCTTCGATATGTGCCTGTCGTTCGGCTTCAACAACACACATGAGCACCGTCCGAAAGACCGTCTCTATTTGGCATACCGTCCACATTTTCATGTGTCGTGTATTCTCCATTAGAAACGCACACGCAGGCAACAAAAGCACTGTCACATATGCATTTTTGCAGCAATGCTTGATCGATATTGCCACAGCCCCCCTCAGTTCAATCCGTTGAATGTAAAAGAAAAGATGATTTTTCAACAGGATTTCTGAATTGAATAATAATAAAAGTATTAACATTTGATGTTCCGTATTTTTACCATAAAAACTCGGAAAAAAGAAAATCCAACCTTTCGCAAGACGAAATGCGTTCCAAAGCCGACTCAGCATTGCTGTGAGTTTCGGAATATTTTCAGCGTTCATTTCGGTTTTTTCGTTCGAAATTCTGCCGTGCATAAAATTGTATAAGCACCAAAATTGTGTAAATTTCATCAGTGAAATTGTGATTAGGCTCAGCAAAGGGAGAGCCAGTGGTTGACCATTCGAAGATGTGTCTTTGTTGTATACGCAGCCTCCGTTTGTTGTTCAAATATACAGCGCTGTACGACCGCGTAACATACACACAGAGACACAGAGACACACAGGCTTCACAGTATACACACAGTGTGCGAGGACGAGAGCTAAGCGAGCGAGCTAACGAACGAACGAACGAACGAACGAATGAACGAAGCGAAGCGAACGCGCGCAAGCATGCTTTGGTGCCTCGATGAATGAAAGCAAAACAACAAAGCCACAACCGAATGAAGAGAAGAATACACAAAGGCACAGAGCACACATAATAGACGAAACGGGCGAAAGAAAAACGACTGCGACGAAGATAACAACGGAGGACGGTGTGTAGCGGCGGCACAAGAGCCGCACAAGAAAAAAAAGCGAAATAATTGTGTGTGAATGGAAAATGTGAATACGAGAGCGAGAACGAGAGAGAAACGTCAGCATCATCAGCAACAGCAGCAGCAGCAGCACAGGCAACGAGAGAGCATAGCGAGTGTTGTGTGTCGATTTGCGTTTGTTGTGTGGCACATTTTAGTGGGGATCCCAACAATGATATCATTTGGATATTACCCAGTTGCAGTTGAACCGCGCTGCGCATAAGTTGATTGTGCCGATAGAGAAAGTTATTGTTTGTGTGTGTTGTTCCTCTTTTATTATTGTTGTTGTTGGCGTTGTGTATATATGATATTGTTGTATATCTCTGCCTGGGTTTCCTTCTCGCCGTCGCGCATCCAACACACAATCCGAAAAGAGCTGTGTGCTAGCCGTGACTAGGGCCGTGACGAAGAGAGAAAGATTCCGAATTCGCCGAACAATCAAATCAGTAACACAACAATAGATTGATAGCGTGGAAGCAGATCACACGTGTGTGCTTGGCGCTCTCTCACAGTTTTCTCACTCACTCACTGATATTAATACGGTGTATATCACATTTTTGTTTTCGGCAGCGGAACGAAACGAAACGAAAAAAGAATAGAAATAAAACCGACAAGATTTCATTTCTGTTTTCGATCAAGCGAATTTTTCACAAAATTGATCATTTTTCAATTTTGTTTTATATTCGTCAAATTTTTGTTGTTGTTGTTGTTGTTGTTGGGACGATCGAGTTGAAAAGTGCCGTGTAACGGAATTATTTAAATCTCAAGTGATTTGCAAAATATTATTCAAATGAAATTGAGAGAAAGAAAAGAAAATATTTTAGCGGCGAAAAAATAGTGAATAGTTATCGTGCCGATTTTAGATTCTGATGGACCTGCATGTGAAAAACACCGACTGATTAAATTGGATTTTTTTTTTCTCGTTGTTGTTGTGGTGGTGAATTTTGGCGATTTTTTTCTGTTGTTGGTTTTTATGTTTTCCACATTGTCGTTTGCGGTCGGTGTGATTTTTATTGTGTTTGATATTTGCCGAATATTTCCTAACGAAACACTGTGGAAAAATGCAAAGAAAAAGAGGCCTTGGCAAAGAGGTTAAAACAGCGGTTTCATTGTGTTGCCGCGATTACGTCACTTACACGGACTCGAAATGAAATAAAAAGAAATCAGTTCGAATTCCTTTGCGTTTGTTTGAGCGCACGATGAAGGAATTAGAAAAAAAAAATGATTATTCGCTCGGTTAAATGTCAAAGTTCAAACAAAGTGACAAGCTTCTACTTAACCGATATTACTTCCACTACCATAAATCATTCTATTTCGGTAATTTTTTCTGTGTTGTTGTCACTGTGTTTCGCATTTCTTCTATTTATCCTCGGCGAAGATTCTTTGCAACGAAGATTCTTCGCTTAATGAAATTCGTTTAAAATTCATTTCGATTTGAATTGACAAAATTAAAATCGCTACCGCATTTGCAGTTTAATTTCGGGACATAATTTCTTTTGTCGCAGTGTGTGGTTTTTGCTGCCATTGTCATTGTTTTTGCTGCAGGTGGAATTTTTCAGTTATTTTCACACGCACACACCACAATTACCCGGCTGATTGATGGCATAGCAAAATTTAGCAAGGAAAAACAAACATACACACCCACAGTTTATCTATTTCAAAAATTAAAAGATCTGTCGCGAAAGAGTGATTTATTGAAATCAACACGTTCTTCTTTTTTTTCTTTGTTCTGTCCAATTCCAAGCATCAAAATCAACAAAAATATTTGAATCCAAAGCGTTTGGAATGTTTTTTTAATGGTTTATTTCATCATCGACGAATTTTTCACACATCACTCCCCCCAAACTGGAAAATGTGACTCTCTCACATTTCATTCGGGTATCAAGTAACTTGTGTCGCCTGTGTTCGAGTGAAAAAACGTCCGTGTTAAATGAGCATGCATTTCCATTTCAGATAGAGCCAATCAAGTTTTGACGTATGGCATAGTCCGCGTATAATAAATTTTAGCCACCCAACCAACCAACCAACCAACCAACCAATTTTCGTTTATTTAGAAACAATGGAAAGGAAACACACATTTAGTGCTAGAAATCTCTGAGGCAAATGCGTTTAAACATTCAAGTGATAAATTTTGATTGAAAAACAAAAACGTCAATTAAAACGGTATCTTCGAGTAAATAGGGATTCACATTAAAATGATGATTATGCCTTAAGTCGGAACTGTTTTTTTTTTTGTCAAAGAATTCCTATTTTGCTTTGCATTTATTAAAACTGTGTGAAAATTCGATCGGGTCACAAGAAAACTACCCGATGACATTTAACGAAAACACATTGAACGAAAGGTAAAAATTAATAAAATTGTGCATTAAAAGTGTTGGTGCTAGTTCTTGATTGAAACCAAATTGCAAGGTGTGAATACTCTCAAAGTCCATTACAGACATAGAACACAGAATTGTTTGTGGTGAACTTTGAATCAAATCAAACAAAAAAAAAAGAAGTCAGAAAAGAATTGACAACAAAACATTTAATAAAAAAGATAAAAGAGAATAATCGTAAAAAAATAATCATTGAAAGAAGCGAGGAACATTTGAAGCAGTTTGTGTGACACGAAACGGCAACGACAAGAAATTCTTTCTGAAGCTGTAGCAAAAGGTGAGTAGTTGTTGTTTTTTGTTTGGCTCCAGGATCGTAATAATAATAATTTAGTACACACTCACACACGCCGTGTTTGCTTGATCCGAATCATGCAATGTCGTGCATGGGAAAAATAAAACGCAAGCAGGCGAACCAACTAGGAAACCCAAGTCTTATGCACTTTTCTCTCACATTTGGTATTACTCTCTATTTGAACATCGTCCACATGCAGATCATTGTGTGTGTGTGTGTGTGTGTGTGTGTGTGGATGTCTGCATGTTATATGTGCGCGCATCGAACACCTTAATCTATAATTACATAACGGTATTTAATTTCACATAGTCAAGCGTACGAACAATTAGAACCTTGTAAAAATGATTAGGTTTTTAGCGCAAAAGTGGTGAACGCGCGCGTGTTTGTTTTGTTCGTAAGCCGACGAGTGAGCGAGCGAGCAATTGTGAGTGATTGAGTCGGGCATATCGAAATGGAAATGAAGAAAGCGAGAAAGAGACCAAGAACGATGATGAAGGAACAAAAGCGATATTGAGAGAAATGAAGCAAAAAACAGAGTACACGGAGAAATGCCATGCTTCTTCGATGCGATTTTGTTGCGTACGTGCACACGCCTCAATGGCTTTCTGATAGTAGATTACATTATTATTATGACTCGAATCAAAAGAGATAGAGAAAGAGAGCGCCCAGCCAGTCAGCCGCATCGAAACAAAGGCAAAACAGAAAGAACAACAGGCATGGAATATCGCGAAACAAGCGAACATAATAAATTGCTAAATTACATAATTTGTGTGTTCTAACCGAACGAGAACGCTCAATTTTTTTTTTTAATCTATCTCGCGCTCGCTGGCTAAGTGCAAATGTCGGCCAAATTCAACGGAATCACAGATATGCATATTTTTCGCTTCCTTTTGAAGTTGATGCTGTCGTCGTTGTTGTTGCAGCAACAGCAAACGAAAGAATGGAAAGAGAATGAAATTGAAACGCAACGAAATCTAATGAAAAGAAAGTAATCACTTTTGTTTAGCTCTTTCTCTCTCTCTCTCTCTCTCTCACTCTCCGTTGAACGGCTTCGGGAAATCAATCCCAAATACCGGCACATGCTCATAAATAGCTTTTGAGCTGCTGTACCCATTTCATGTGACTCTTTTTTTTCATCGCAGTTCTTCGCGTGAATTTGTTTTTTTTTCTGCTTTCTTTCACTCGTCACATTCTCTCGTTGCCATAATTTGATGTGAATGTGTACGCTAAGCATCTAGCAACAAAGCAGAGGGCAAACGCAATTATCTCACAGCCGATATAAATATGACACTGACACTGGCTTACTTTAGATTTATTCCACTAATTTTCCTGTTTTTTCTTGTTTGTCCTTTTGCCATCTCTCACATTCAAGTTTTTGGTCTATGTTTCGCACAGCATCTTGCATTCCTGATTCTTCTTTCACGCGTGTTTACTTTTTATTCGATGTGGTTTTTTTTTTGTTAACCACTCATTGCTTCCTACCCAGTTCACTTGTTTGACTAATCGACACACGACCATGCACAGGCGACATACTCAATGACACTCAAAATTAGAAAGAAAGTCAACACAATTTGACTAATTTCAACAAATGTTTTCCGACATCGCCACTATGCATACTTGGTTGTGCTCTAAATAAAACACTTATGTGTCAGTTTTATGTAGTTGATTACCGGGCATATTTTTGATATCAAAACATTCAAATTGATATAATGAATTTATTCAACTCAACATCCACTGAATTGAATTTAGTCCATTTTCATCTGATAAAATTTTCATATTCTGATGAGTCATGTAGCACTTTTTCCAGCCTGAGAAAAACAAATGCTTCCTTTTTCAAAACTGAGAATAAAATGGAAATTGAGTAGACCAATTTTTTGGTCCAATCAATGTCACGTTTTTGGTGAACAGCCAACTTGGTATTATCAATTCAGCTCTAATCATGATTGGATGGTCATCCAAATAGACCATCTCCTTCCTCGTCTCCTTCCAACGTCCCGACCATCGAAATCTCGCGAACAAAGCCAGTTTTCCGTATTTTGCAATGTTGAAATTCATACGCAAGCGTATCAATTGTTGCGAATTATGTTTCTAAATTCGAAAAATTCACATATTCGCATTCTATTACCATAATCACATGTGTGATATAGCAGGCGAGTGCGCGCGCGCGTGTCCACGTTCATCCACTGGTCTGTCGTTGTGAATACATATTGATCGACCTTAGTAGAAATGTTGTTGATAGAGAGAATAATAAAACACGTAACAAAAACCAGGCGAGTTAATAATAATAATGCAAAAAAAAGAAGAGTAAGTGTGTATTGCAGTTTTGATGGACGCGACGGGAACAAAGAGTGAAAAAAGTGTGCGATTTAGTAGAAGAGCAAAAAAAAAGTCCGAACGGCCCGAGCCTAGGACACTAGAAATCTGAATAAACATATATTGGAAGGAGAGAGAAAAAAGCCACCGTCGATGACGAGAGAGGGAGAATAATAGAAACTGGCTAATAAAAAGCCTACAATTTAAAATCAATGATAACCTTTTTCGGTCAATCTTTTTATATTTCGGACATTTCGAACAATTCTAATAATAATAGATAGATGAAATGACACGATTCATAATCGCACCGCAGCTAGTACACACACGGTGTACACAAAAGTCGATATTTCTGTGAACGTGAGCGCGCGCGCTCGTTTTTCCTCTCTTTCTTGCGATTTCGCTTCGATTTTACTATATTGTTAGAAATGTTACGTGGTCGATTGTGCAATAGGACGAGTGCGCGCGCGAGCGAGCAAGTGAACGAGCAAATAACATGACGATGAGATTATATTATATGGGTAGAGAATAGGTTTTGATTCGTATGATTTTACTTACGTCGTGATCATTCGAGAGAGTGTGTGTGTGTGTGTGTCGTACACTCGATCCGAATACATACAATCTTTTTTCTTTAATTATTTAACATCGGTTGATCCACAGAGGCGAGGCCAAATTGAGAAATCAAATCACAAAGAAAAATCGTAATTAGATTGATTGAGTCGGTGCGCAAAAGATCGTATGTATGTGTGTGCGCGCTTGAGCCTCAAATGTGCATATAAACAGAGAAAATCAATGAGTGCAACAAAAGGAAATACATTGAAGGAGAGAGAAAGAGAGCAAAAGCTTACCCATAACAGTAACAACAGACGCAGAAATGGCATGGAATCGATCGGCTACTTGATGTTGCTTTAGCTCAAAATTGTGTGTGCAATGTTGCGCGCGAGCGCTAGACTACAGTATATTGATAATACCAAGTGATCTTGATAAGGTGTTGTTAAGTCATCGCAAAAGAAGGGAAAAATAGACAGAGGCGAGAAAAAAATCAAACGAGAGCACACATTGAAAACGAAATCGACGACACACAGGAGAGAAATCAAAATCTACACGGCCATTTTCGTTGTTGTCGCATTCACATTTCTTTTTTTCCCCCCGCACACACCACACTACACGCCATATATCATCCACGATCCAGACGAACACGCACTGATTCGATCAAGTCAACAACAAAATAGAGATTAGTAACCAAATACAATTGCGGTGTTGTTTTTTCGTTGTACTATCGTGCCTTTTTTTCGATTCGTTCACATATGAATTTGATTTTTATCATTGCACAACTGTGTATTAACCAGGCTTGCATACTTGTTATTTGTTTTCCCATTACACAAAACGGCCACTCGTTTTTTTCGCTAATTTGTCCGATTTTCTTTTATTAGTTCCTGATAAGCTATAAATCTTATCACTTTGAGAGGATTGGAAAAGAAGTGCGGAATATTTGTTGAATTTCATCAAATTTTCCGCATTGTTTTCCATGGTTTGAGTCAGTGGCTGCGAAACGGAAATTCTACGAAATATTACACGTAGATCGATTTTGTTTGATTTCAGATCATCTGGTGAAATTTGCACAAATTGCCATTCTCACCATGATGTGGTAGTATCATTAAAAAAAAAATCCAAAATTGAGTATGTCATCACAAAATGCGTATTATCTATTATCAAAACAAATGGATTTAGGTGATTTGGTACTGCATTTTATTTATCGAAGACAAAATTTTAACGTTAAATGACACTAAAATGTGACAAGAAAAGAAGACACACATCCAGCTTATTGATCGAAATCGATCTGTTTTTACCATATTTCCGAATTAAATTAGAATGGGAGAATTCAGTGCTTGAATTTGAATGAGATTAAGCTTTTAAAATGACCGTTTGTTATTGAGCTGATATCGATTAAAATGCGAGCAAAGTCATATACAATTTTCTGCAAAAAAAAAAAAAAACAACAACAACAACCATTTGGACATGGAAGATCGTCCACCAATTTATTCAGAACTAAAATTCAGTACAATTCGAAAATATGTGTTGTGAAAAGATTAGCCAATTGGGAAAAACTTGAATGGAATTTGCAATGTCGGAATATTCTTATACACTTATAATGTATTAGTTGTTGAACAGTCAAGCTATTGCATACTAGTAGCGCCTCTAGTGAGTTTCGCAAAGAACTACCGAGAATAACAGCGACAGCACTCAAAACAGATTATGACGAAATATCATTCGTGTCTGTGTGCGTGTGGTTTGTTGTGTCAGCATTGGTGTGCTATGCTGCACTATGTCGGTTTTCGCGCGAGTTACTGAAGGTGGCGGTACTAATTCATTTGTACGAAAACTTCAACATTTATAATGAAGTGATTCCTGATATTGGGAATTTGCTTTGATTTACATTTTATGCAAGATAAATGACGGAATCGGGGCATGTAATCGAAATTGGCAAAACGGCGATACGATGAATCGAGAAAAAAAAATTAAATGAACGACAACAACACATACACATTCCAGATCGAAGACATCAGATAACTAATGCAAACCACATTTTGCAAATGATTCGAAAGGCAGCAATAGGAAATCATACACACACACACACACACTGGACTCATACACAATTTTTATGAGCTTTCTGT